CATTTGAGTTCATAATTTTTGTCTGACAGAGGAGTGATGGAGGTTAGTAGAAACTGTTATCTTTTTCTCTTTATCTGTGTCTCCTTGCTTGTGAGGGGCGTTGAGGAAGAGAGGAAGGGAGGGAGGGGGAGAAGGTGGGGCGGAGGGGAGGGAGGGGGGGGGGGGGGGGGGGAGGGGGGGGGGGGGGGGGGGGGGGGGGGGGGGGGGGGGGGGGGGGAGGGAGGGGGAGGGAGGGAGAGAGAGAGAGAGAGAGAGAGAGAGAGAGAGAGAGAGAGAAAGAATGAATATTAATTAGTGGCTCTCGGTCTTCTTAAAACTGCTGGCCCCAGAGAAGAGTCATGCCTCTTGTGGAAAATAACCATGACAGATTTGACTAAAAGAGAGAGCAGCTATTAGCTGGATGACACCAGCCACTTAACCAGCCAGCAATGCAAGAACAAGGTGCAGGTGGTTGGGAGAGGTAGGGGAGAGGCCTGGTAGAGCTAGGGACTTCAGTTACTTCCCAACTACACTGACTTCTCAGGATCCAAGTGCATGTTAGGGCCTCACTGCCAACTCTGCCCTTCCACTCTTGCTTAGAGGATATCTGACCTTTTAAAAATTCAACTGTGAGAGAGAAGGCAATGGTGCAGAAACTTAACTGCCTGCCTGGACTCAATCGTTCCAAAATAACTGGGTTTGGGTTAGCTCCTTGGATGGCAAAGGTTCAGCTAAACTTTGTGTGCATGTGCGTGTGTGTGTGTGTGTGTGTGTGTGTGTGAGAGAGAGAGAGAGAGAGAGAGAGAGAGAGAGAGAGAGAGAGAGGCTGACTGAGGTACTCTAAGAAGGAGTGGTAGTGAGAAAGAGGTAAAGGGCAATTTCTGGGATATTCTTCCAAGTTCTCCTCCCTGAAGGAGAGACTAGAATAGTGGTATGGGCTGATTGTACGTTCTCCTCCCCAAATCCAAACGCTTAAATCCTAAATCCTAGGATGATGATGTCAGAGGTGGGAGAGGTGGGGCGTTGAGAGGTGATTAAGTCATGATAATAGAGTACTTGTGATCTGAATTAGTGCCCTTGTGAAGAGGCCTGAAGGAGCCTGTTCACTCTTCTATGTGAGCACAGGAGAAGTCTGTCCATGGACCAGCACCTGGGTCCTTAGCAGACCCTAAGTGTGCAGGGACTTCTCAACCTTTAGGACTGTGAGAAATAATTGTGTGTTTGTGTGTGTGTGTGTGTGTGTGTATAAGCCACCTAGTAAGTGGCATTTTGTTACGGCAGCCTTAGCAGATGAAGACCAATAATGTATCCTCAGGAAGAAGGGGAAATATATTTCTTTTCCTTGCTCACAACGTCTATGTTTATTTCTCCTTGTAAAACTGCTCGGTGAATGCAATCTGGTTGCAGTATGTGGCCTTCATTGGCAGAGCTTTATTAAGTATACAGAGCCTGACTCCTGTGCCTCTCCTCTATATATCCCAAAGCTTGTATGTACCTGGAGCCTTCCCTTGGTTTTATGAAAAATTGGGTACTAAATAATAAACAAAAAAAATTATTTATTTTTGGGGAAGTTTATCTCCTTCCCTCTTCCTCACTCTTTCCTCCCTCCCTCCCCTTCCCTCTCTGTGCATGTGTGTGCATGTATGTGTGTGTCTGGGTGCCTGGAGAGGTCTGAAAGGTGTCAGACCCCCTAGAGCTCGAGCTACAGGTAGCCGTGGATCACCTGACATGGGTGCTGGGAACTGATCTCTGATCCCCTTGGAGAGTAGCAAGTGCTCTTAACCCCTGAGCCATCTTCCAAGACCTTGAATCCCCCACCTCCTCAGTACTAAATCTTTAAGGACCCAATTAAAGAAAAAAAATATACTTGTTGTCATTGTTGAATACATACTGTATTTAACTTTTTTTTAATCCCAGAGAAGTGAAATGCAACATCCATTTGAGTTTATGTAACATCCAAAGACTGACAACTCAGAATTTCCTAATTAAAGTCATTTTTAAGGCACTCTGCAGAGCCAGCTTTCATCTCTTCCTTTGTGGCGTTATTCTTCAAACTGTAGCAGAATACCTGGCTTCTCTGTCTTCAGCGACACACATACATGCTCATGCTCTTAGCCTCCACTTCTGTCCTCGACGACACCAAAAAACAACACAATTTTAAGGAAGAAAATCCATTTCGGGGGAAACAAGGCGAGAGCAAAGAGGACATGTACACGCACATTGGCTGATAGGCCAGTAGCAGAAAAGAGAAGGAGCAGGAAGGAAATGGAACAGGGCGGGGTAGACCAGATGGTTGGTGGCCAGTGAAAAAACAGGCTGCATTTCCCAATGAGGTTTAAACTAATTTAGCTGGTTCCTTTTTACATTTTTTTTTTTATTTTAAAGATGGGTCCAACGCAAGGGAGGTATTCCAAAATTATGGGATGTGGATGTAGGTAAGTGTGCTTGCTCATGCTCATGTACTTATGAGCCGACTTTAAAGATAGGTACTGGGAAGGGGAGGCTCTAAAATGCCCTCCTGAGATAAAAATAATCTCTCTTACTGGCCCACTTCTGCACCTGGAATTCCCAGCATTCAAGCTATTCCTTCAGATTAAGGCATCGTCTATAGCCCCAATGAAAAGGTAAATGTCACCTAAGAAGTGTAACACTCAACTCTTTAGCACCCACCGACTGAACCGTTTTCTATCAGAGAGCAGGACCCTGAGAGATGGGACTTGGCGCAGGACAGTCTGATTAACAGGGCAAGACGGCACGGCGCTATGAATGCAGGAGAAATCTACTTGCTCTGGGAAGCTGCTAAGGAGGCGGGGTACGAAAACAGACTCTGTCTATGCTGGGGCACTCTCTTGTGCATACAGCATACACACTCTCTAACACACCCAACAGTTCTTAGACATTACAGCATTCTGCAGGGAGCACTACTATGGCGTTCACTTGGGCCCTCGAGGAAAAGGTGCTCAGGGAATCCGCCGAGTGCAAGACAGCACAAGTTCTTGATTGTTTTCAGGTAAAGTTCTATACTGTAAAGTGGAAGTTCAGCATCTTCAAAGGTCCACGTCGTTTATATGAAGGCGGTACACATCACACACACACACACACACACACACACACACATGCACACACACGCAGACGCACACATGTGCGCGTGCACGCACACACCCCTTCACTTAAATATTCATTGTTTGAGAACTTGTCAACCTGAGAGGTGAGAAGTCTCTAGTCATCTATGATTTGAAGGCTGGAGCAGGTGGGTTGCTGTCAGGTTATTGGGTAAGGGACTGTTGGGGGACAATACTTTCCTGTTACGGATGGCCCTTTCCTGTCACCAGTGGGCCCTCGGGTAATTCAGGTTGCTTTGCAGAAACAGCCAACCTTTGGGTTATAAAGACGGGAATAAGCTTTTGCCTCAAAATTGGGACAGAGAGGCAGGGAAACCCATGGAACCTTCAGGCTCTTGGAGGGAGGCATGTGTGGTGGTGGTGGGGGAGGGGGATGTGCAGATGGAAGGTGAACTTGGGCAGGGGACGAGCATTTGCTTCTAGAGGGCAAATGCAAGCATCAGCCTCAAGTGTGACTCTGAGGACCAGTCAACCTTTGGGTCTGCTCAGGTTGATGGTGCCGGTGGGGAGAAGGTGTAACGAGGAAAAAGAACTGGAGCAATGGGGACTCTAGAGAAAGCTTGTGAACTAAAGGAGGAAGGGGTCTCGGAGGTGGACGGGGATATAGAAGGGTGTTTTTCCCTATCAGCCGCACTGACGAGTTAGAATCATCTGGGTTCCTCAAAAGACCTCGGCTGCTCAGCCCTTTAGAGCCTCTACGACGGATAACTGAGATGGGAACCAGGTGTGTGGGTTTGAGCTCCTGACCTAGCGCTAACGCGCATCTGGTGTCAAGCATTCTGCACCAGCGTGGAAGGAGAGATCCAGTGTTAACAGTCAGGCTGGAGCCTGCTGCTCAGTCTTGCACGGGTTTGTGAAGGAGAGGGAGGGAAAAGAGTTGCAAAAGCAGGAACGGGGTTGGAAGACGCTGACTTTCCGTCTGGTTAGCTGGACCTGTGCTGATTCGTGGGGCTGGATTGCTTGCTACTAGCTGGTAGTTTCTGATCCCATTTCGGGTTGAAAAGCTGGCTGGGGTGGAAGTATTTGGGACTAGGGAGGAGAATTTTCCTTTTTTTTTTTGTGGCTTCAAAGAGGAATCATTTACTGTGCTCTGTAGGGGTCGACAAGACAGATCTGGGGCTGATGTTTGAGAGAGGGAAGTAGATTTCCTGATGTCTAATAAATATAGATCCCATAAATAAATAAATAAATTGGGAAGTATACCAATAAATAAAACAATCAAGAAAACAACATAGACCACTTTTTCCCTGTTGGGGGAAATTCTGCTCTCACTCCACTGATCCTGGTGACGTGAGGGCTGCTCTTGGACATCCGAAGGCACCAAGCCTGTCCATGGTAGGGCAAACAGTTGCCTTCCAAAGACTGTAGAGAAACCTCAGAGGATGATTGACATTGGCTATCCACATAGAGAAGAGTGAGGAGAAGGGGAGATAGATATTCTCCCTGTTTCCCACCCAAAAGTATGGGGTGAGGAGGCAGGCTTGGGAGCCAGGGCTGGGCCGTGTGGGGTCTCTTCAGTCCAGGATGGCCAGCCTTGTCCTTGGGAGGCTTCACGTGGAAGGAGGGGATGAGCAGGAGGTGCGGGCAAACTCGAGTTTTCCATACACAAAAGCTGCAGCAGGCACAACTTCCATTTCAACAAAGCTTCCCATGAGCCAACCAGCTGGCCTGGCTGGACACACGCGGTGGGGAGAGGAGGTACTGGTCACAGGATGGGAGGGTGGTGAGGAGACAGGCAAGATGGCACTCTTTTTAAATAGGAAATCAGCTGTCCAGGGCGTCAGCTTCTAGCGCCACCAGCCATTGCTTGTATCCTCCTCCTCAGTGTCTTGCCGTGTGGTTCTGTGTGCTGGGCTTGCCTTGTCCTACTAGGAGACCTGTATGTGGACAAGGAAACACGCAAACAGTGCACATTAAGACAGTGGCCAAGGAAACAGCATTCCTTAAAAGCAGACATTCATAATTCAAACTTTGTAAGTAGATTTTCAAAGGGATAATAGCTTGAATTTTGTGCAAAGTTCTGAGCATCTTCATGTACACATCTCTATAAAGAAGGTCTGTAACTTTCATCTATTCTTAAAAGATTAAAAGCTAAAGCAGTGTGAAGGGATCTCAAGTCACTTGTGTGTTTAGTCCATTGGGAAAGCACAAAAAAACTACAGAAATGGGTGGAAATTCCAGCAGTGCCCCTTAGAATTCCGGGTGCAGGAACCGGACTGACTGGAGACCTGGGTGTAACCAGGATTTCTGTCATTGATTCAGGACAATTGCCAAAGTCTTTGTCTTCACTATGTGTCTATATCATGCTATTTGAAGCTGTCAATCAAAGTTCTTTAGGAAGAAAATATACACCAGCTGTTTTTTTTTTTTTTTTGTGGGCACGTGTATCTACCACTTTATGTAACAGCTGAAGTCCTAAAAAAGTGGGTGGACCCAATTTTAAAAAAATAAAACAAAAAGCATTTTTGAATGCACAAAGGGAGCTGTTCTTAGGTAAAGTAGATGTTGTGAATCCTTTTCTTTCTTTCCTGAAATTTTTGTTTGGTGTGTGTGTATATATATATACATATATATGTCACATATATGTCAGAGTGCACGTTTGTGTGTGTGTACACCTGTGTATGTATATTGTATGTGTGTGGGTGTATGTGTGTGCACCTAAGGGTAGAGGTTACAGGTCTATTTTGGGTGTCTTTCTCAGGAGTTCTACACCTTGTTTTTTGAGACAGGATCTCTCTCTCTCTCTCTCTCTCTCGCTCGCTCTCTCTCAGCCTGGAGCTCACTAGTGGAGCTAAACAGGCTAGTCAGCAAGCTAGCCAGTGATTGTCCCCTCTGCCACTCCACTCCAACATTGCATTTAGATACATGCTGCCAAGTCTGGGTTTTAGTGGGTGTTTGGGATCTGACCTCAAGTCCTCGTGCCTGAGCATCAAGCACTTCACCCAGGGAGCCACCTCCCCAGTCACTTGTCTAGATTCTGTGTGCGCTGGACTTGCTCACAGGATCGCTAGGGTGCAAATGTTTTTATAATTCCACATTTAAATAATGTCATTGCCTCTTCTGATTATATATATTATATGCCTTCAGTTTAGGAAGTTATGTAGTCAGTTAAATAAACTTGTCTTGACACTCTGAAATTAGAAGATAAACCCATTTCATAAACAAACAGGGACTTGGTCTAAGATATGTTTTAGAAAGCAGCCCTCTCTGTACCCTGTTCACCAGAATAGCAGCCATGCCTTTTGGCATCTGTAAATGCCAGTTCCCATTTCTGCAGGAATGTGATTAGTCAGAATGGGTCAGAGGTGCTGAGTGTGCCAGACTCTGCCAGCCCTTGGTACCTGACCTGGCAAAGAAGAACAAACATGGTGAAGTGGGGAGGAGGTTGGGTACAAGGTAAGCAGATGTGAGCAGAGGCCTAAGCCGAACTCACAGTCTACTTGGTGATCACAAAGCACACCACACAGATGCTCATGAACGAAAGTCACGTCACCAAGGAGACTGCCTCACTAATCATGCTCTTTATGATTTATTATTGATATTAATCCATATATCATTAGTCTATTAATTCTATCATATATTATATAAAAGCAATGTAAAAACAGCATAATTTTTGTATAGAAAATATTGTAAGTGTGTAGTGTACTTTTGTCTACTAGTTTTCCTAAGGCAAGACACAAGCAACCCAGTTAAGTTTGCTCTGTTAAGTGTGCTTTCATAAACACTTGTGGGGTGCACATGGCACTGACAAGGGGCCTCCTTCTTGTGCCACAGATAAATACGTCAAGGTCAGCATGACATCAATACGAAATCAGGGCCCAGGAGCCCAGTTCCCTGGTCTCCTGTACCAATGAATAATATATTTGGGATATAGAGAGCTGGGTGGAAATAATCTACTAAAGGCAAAAAGACAAGATCATTTTTTTCCTGTAACAAGCTCATAATTAAACTGACTGTAAAGCTGTTTATTCTTATATACAAAATGTCCTGTTTCTCTTTTCATGGATTACTCAAAGAAGGAATACTTTGATTTTATTAGTGGCTCTTGGGACTAGAAGTTTTTTTTTTTTTTTTTTTTTTTTTGCCATTTAAGAAGATCCATGGGAGTTTTTATTTTCTCGAGACAGGGTCTCTCTTTGTAGCCCTGGTGCTCCTGGAATTCACCTTGTAGACCTGGCTGGCCTCGAACCAAAGAGATCCACCTGCCTCTGCCTCCCAAGTGCTGGGATTAAAGGTGTGTACCACCACTGCCCAGCAAGATCCATGGAATTCTTTAGGTGAGATAGTCCTTAGTTTTCTGGTGTGTGTGTGTGTGTACATGCGTATGTGCAAGCAGACGGAGATAGGGGTGGCAGCGTCTCTACCTCCATTCTTCTGATATGCATGTGCACAGTCTTTTCTCTCTGATTAATTAGAAGTAATAGCCTTCCTTAGCGTCTGGTATGTGAGAGAGTAAAGTGGGAAATAATTTAATTGGCTGTCTTGCTTTCAAAGCCCAGTTTAACGAAATAGTTCTCAGCCTGAAGTGCATGCATTATCCTTCCTGTTATTTTTACAATTAGCGTGTCATTGCATCACGTTTGGGTGGAATATTCTAATGGGTTCCTAGGGTGGGGGCACAGCAGATGGAGAGATAACCCGAGGGCTGGGGTGTGTACTGTGCTTTCATTAGGACAGTGTGCCTGGGAAGTCTTGTCCTGTCACTTAGGCATGAGAGAGGGGTCATACCAGTCTCTAAAAATGGCAGGCTGTTTGATGCACCCATTGGGTAGAGAGATGATTCTGAGACACTTTGCAAGTTCCTGGGCTACCTCCCAATGCATGACCCAGTGGCACAAGGAGTGCCTCCTACAGTGTCCTATGAGCACTGTCCCACTGAGGGCAAGGATTCTGTTTTGCCGAGTATGTAGGACATACTTGTAGAAAGGCGTGCTGGAAGCATGAGCATTTGGAGGATCCCATGATACCTTCCCTGCTTTACTCTTCTGTGTGGACAGCAGAGAGTTAGAGGTAGATGTGAAGCGGGGCCGAGAGTAAGGAGCAAGCCAGGCACCAAAGGCAAACACCAAGAAGGCTTGCTCTTGCAGGGGCATGCAAGCACATGGGCCTGAGTGTGAGTGCCTTTTTAAATTCTACGTGTCCTAGAACCTTGCTTGCCTCACCTTCACCCTAGGTCTGGCAACTAACAAAACATCCTGTCCTCCTTTTTATCTCCTCCTTGCTCCAGTAATGCTGGGCCTCAGCCAGCCCTCAGCCAGCCCCAGATTCAATGATGATTTAAATGTCTCACAGCACTATCTGTATCCCTTACAATCCTGCTTGTGTCTTGGCTCTGTGTCACCGTACGGTTGTGACATATGTATCTTCCCTACCCCCTGGTATTTCTGAACCAGCCCTCAGCTGTTTTAAGGATCAACCCAATTTTTCTGGGTAAGCTGAAGACAAACAGGGGCCTAGAGGTAAAAGAGGCTCGATGCTTGGCCATGTGTCCCACTGCCTAGAGGCCTGGATCCGTATTTGTCTTGGAAAGAGGAGCTGGTTCTTTTAGGGAGCATCCTTTGGCCCAGCTGGGAGAAAGGAATAATTGAGGCATGGAATAGGGACTGGGACAGGCTTAAAGACAACTGTGCAGCTGGGCCAAAAGAGACCATAGAGAAAGGGGTCACAATAGGCAGATGTAGAGAGAAGACAGAACCAGCCATACCTCCACCATGTGAGATAGCCTGGGATATGTTGTGTATGTACAGGGTGAGGGGAAGTACTTTCTCATTTTATCTCCTTCAAGATGGCAGGTCTGTAAAACCACCTGCAAACTTCAAGGACTTAGCCAAAACTGTAGGGACAGACAGGCCAGTAGAGACCCAAGAAAAGATTTAAACATATGTGTGTGTGTATTCAATATATATATATTGAATACACACACACACACCCCTCTGTGCTATGTGACCACAAATGAGGAAAATACAGCTGTTCTGGGATGACTTTTGTGGTCATTTCAACCCAGCCAGTTGTGCTGGGATTTTCCATCTGGCCCTGTCCTGACACTTAGCCACTTGTTTCCTCCTAAAGGAGGAGTTTTAGCTACCTACAGGACCATGTGGCCTTCTCCTGCTTTTCTTTTCTGCCCCTGCCTGGGGATAGGCCTCTTTTAGCCAGGTGGCCAAGGCTGGGGAGAGCTGAGAGATCCCCAACCTTCCCAGAGACCAGGCTTTGCTCCGCAGGGACTGAATGAGGTTTTGGGTTTCCAAGCTGATGGATCCTGAAGGTCAGCTCACCAGCTGCAGCCCATGTGTTACTGATCCAACAAACAATGTCTTACATCAGACAATGCCTCGCTGAGACACTGGAGTGTTTCAGAGATCACGCCACTGTCTACTGAGGCTAGCCATGGGCTTTGTTATAGGAGAGCATATGCCTGACTCGGGGATCAATGATACCATGTTTCCCCATAGGAATTCCTATAGAAGTGCTTGGGAATGGTCAGATAACCTTGGCAACTCTCTGGGAAGCTTTCTATAGGCAGATGTCCTACCAGAAAAATGGGGACCAGATGTACTCCAGATCTCAAAAGAAATTAATGGCAATAAGACTCTGGGGTAAAAATATCTGTGTGCTTGCTCACTGAGCTTGTTCACTCGGCTCCTGTTCTATCTAAGGATCATTTAGGCTTAATTATAGAGTTCAGGCATTCATTGGGTTTTTGATTAATTTTCTTTTCAGCCTGGAAAGTGTGTGAGTGTGGTAGGTCTTTGTCCGTGCGTGTGTGCACGTGTATATGTGTGCGTTTATATCTTTCTTTGCAACTCAGTTGGGAGCTGGCTCTAGCTGGTTTAATTGCGCCCTCGGTTCTTAACAAGAACGCTCAATGTGCCAAGAAGGCCTTGGAAAGCCATTGTTTTCACTGCCTCCGCCCCATGGGCTGCTCCTGCGCAGGCATTGAGGGACCGCGGGTGGCAGGGCAGTGCTCAGCTGGGACCTCAGCTGTAGGATGCATGCTTCCTGTCTGTCTTTGTACTTGTGTTTAAGGGATTCGGAGACCAGTAGGCTTTTCCTACTCCATTAATTACAAGTGACAGCCACCTCCCCCACACCACAGTCCCTGACAGGCGTTTTTTCTGGGCCAACCTCCCTGGGGATTACAAGGCTCTTTGAGGAAGCAAACAGCTTTCATTCTCTCATTTTTAATGACTCCACTTGGTGGGTAGGGGAGGACTACATGGCCGTGCAGATGACAGTGACCTGCCTTCTCCTTTTCTTTCTTCTCCTTTGTGCTAAGGGCTAAACTAAGGGACAGCACCATATAGAGGGAGAAAATGGGGGTTTGAACCAAAAGGCTCAGTTTGAATCCTGGCTTTTGGCATTTTTTCCTGTTTGTGTGCCTGCGGATACATCATTTACCCTCTTTGGTCTCAACTTGCTATTTGTAAGAAGAGGACAATAACACCACCACCACCACCACCGAATCACACTTCTTACGATGACTGTGGATGAGAAAACGCGTGTGGAAGCCTTTTGCAAAATCTTTTATAAATCATTGCTATTTTATTTTACTATGCAGAGTTGTTTCTTAGACCATGACTTTGGCCTTTGAGGTATTCATTGCGGGGCGGGGGGGGGGGGGGGGGGGGATCCAAAATGATTCATTGACTGGAAGGCAGACAGGGGACCAGCCTCCAGCCTCCTGCCGATGTGGTATGCAATCAGCAGAGAACAGATTAAAGGTTCACTATCAAAACAACTGTCACAGATAGAAAGTAATCTGGAATGTTCCTTTTTTGACATTATAACGGAAAGGATTCTGGACCCAATTGTTTTTAATTTCTCGGCTTATTGATTTGTGGGTGAATGATTCTGGAACAATGGCAGCGTTTCTGGCTGGAATCGAGGAAAGACCCCAGGTCCCAGGCAATGTGTCTGTATTGTAAGCTGTGGTCTGGGAGACTCAGGCCTGTGCTGATGAGCTTTGTGATCCTGAATAGTTGACCTAATTTAAATGGGCCTCAATTTCCTTGGAGATCATAGACTAGAGGATCTCAAGGGTGACCTCATTTAAGGATTTAAGACCTGATGAAATGTTCTTACGAATACAGGAGGTTTTAAACTGTTGTGTCACTAAGAAACTATGACCCAAATATAAAGTCCAAATATAGTTTAGAGACCACCCAACTCACACCAAAGGCTCAGAGCGAGTCGGTTTGAAACTGATGTCGTCTGGCATCAGACCCCCGTTCTCAAGAGACGTGCAGCCTGATGAGAAAATGCAGGTGACCCCCCCCCCCGCCCCCGCAGAGATCTCAAGGTTAACTCTCTCCTGTAAGAGAGCCTTTGTTTGGCAATATCCTGACTAAGCTAAAAGTCAATGATCCACAGACAAAGGGAAAGGGGGTCATCTCCTTGTAAAACAATGGTAACTTTAACATAATTGGCTATTGGGTAATTGAGTGTTCTACCAGGTTGACTTCAGGACTGAGAGAAAGAGTTTAGAGAAGTAACAAATGACAGCGGTAAAGCATATTTGCATAGTGATTTTACCTTTTATAAGCCCTTTCTCACATATTTCTTCTCAATTGTTATTACATCATTCCCCAGGAAACCACCTGGGGGTAGTTTATTTTAAAAATCTGAAGTGATTCTTTTTAAGTAGGAATAAGCTTAGGTAAGCATGCTGCACCTTGCTTTATAAGTATAGACAGGTCTTTGAAAAGCTATATTTTATGGAAATATAATTGTGTGACTCATATCTTAATGTGCTAGGGACATTTAAAGACTGAAGCCTTGCATAGGATTTTTAATATAAACTCTTTCTTATTCATCTGTTGTTACAATTTTAGATGTGGAAAAAAAAAATCAGGTTTTCTTAAAGTGGGGCTATGTGACTTGGATTCCAAGATCAGCATCCACTGCCCCAAATCTCATAAAAGTGGCATCTAATTCAATGAGGGAGAGATTGGTGCTTCTGATGTCAGCATGGAAAATAAGCAGCTTTAGTCTTCAGCTTGTAGCTCTCTGAGGTCAGCTCTGCCATGAAGAAGGAGGGGAGCATGGGAAAGGACAGAGAAAATAACAAAAATAACAGCTGAATTATTTCTAAATAGAAGAGTCTTTGCAACTCACAGATGGGCATTAATGTGTTGTTATAAATGACTTGCCATCAATTACTAGTCTATGAGAGAGGAGCTGATGGCTGGGGTGTGAAGTTAGTGCTATGTAATTTTGAGTCGCATCCTCTGGGACTAGAGCATAACAGCAATTAAACTACAGTGCATTTTAAACAAAAGCAATGGACAAGCCTTTCCAGTTCACATTCTCTGTCCCCAAACTCTGGCAGGCTTGGGGGTCAATGACAGGATCGGTATAATGGCTCCAGACTTGGAATCTCACACTTCTGAAATTAAGCTTGAAGAATTTACTTATTCAATGTACAACATTGTGAGAGCTCTGTAGTTTGTTCTCCCGGGGAGTTTTGGAACAAAGAGGGCTCCATCTCACAACCTGCACTACTGAGAATAACAAGGAAAGCTCTTTTCTGGGAGGGGGTGATTTAGGCTGAAAGGGTTGGAAATCTTTCCACTGTAAATACTGGAAACTCATTAGAAAGTTTTACACAGCTGGATTAAGGACATCTGGCTTCCCACCTTTATTGGCTGGATCTCAGTGTTACAAGTTTGCTTAAAGAAAATGCCCAGATTTTCACTAAAGAAGTAAGAAACACTTCCTCCCTACAGCTGGACAAGCAGTTAAAGTTGAATTTTTGTTAACTATAGTTGAAGTTAACCTATGTGGACTTATGGTGTACATACTATGTGTGTTTAAAGGCCATAGATGAACATTCAGGCACTACTGGCAAGACTCGTTGTTATGATCTCTGAATACTGGTGTGTGAGAACACATGTGCGTGCACAGACGTGTACACTTCCTGTGTCCAAACAAGTCAGAGATTAAAACTTGAAAGTATCGGTCTCATTTGTGGAGATGTTCCCGAAACCCTGCAATGACAGGAGGCTGTACATCTTTGTAAACCAAGGGCTGGTGAGGAATCTGTAGTTGTAAACAAAGTCACAGACTGAGTCACTAAAAAACCCAGGAGGGACCCAGTGCCACAGTTACTGCAGAAAACAGGAACTACATAGCCAATACTGTGACGAACACTTAGAACGAACCATCTCTTTGGAATGAGAGTGTATGGAAGCAGCCAGTCTCCACTGGGGCTGCGGACATCAGCACTTTGGACAGCTCCTAGGGCAGCTCTGGGACAGAGTGTTTATGTGTTCCCCTCATTCCAGAGAACGTGCTGACGATCTGATCATCAACTAATATTTGCTATTAATCTGTAGCAACAACTTCTTCTCTCTCCCCATCACCCAGTATCCTTCACCCAACTCCCCAACACCCTCCAGTCACACACGGGGGACTGTCTTACGAACACCTGGTGTGGATGTTTCCACGCGCGCTTCTAATTGGTTGGGAAGCAGCATCCGCCACAGGCACTGTTTAGTTTCATTTACCTCTCCTGCATCTCACAGGAAAGAAATGGTCAATAGTTCAAATAAAAGAATCATCCCGGTCAGCTGCAAAATATGGCTACTTGCATGGTAATCACAGCAAGTCTGTCAAATCAGTGATTTCTTTATTCCTAAGAGGAAGGGGCTTTTCTTAAGGGTTATGGTTCTACCACCCGAGGAGCAGCTGGACTCTTCACAAGCAGCTGCAGAGGCTGGCAAACCAAGAGGTCTGCTTTGGCTCAGAAACTCAGTTTGGCTCCTGCCACCCCTGGCAACACACAGCTGGGCAGTCCGCTTCTACTTAGGAGGTATCACCACCAGGGGCGGCCCCCGCTTGGGCCTCCACATGAGGACCTGGGCATCATTGGCATTGGGCTTCACGAGTGCGTTAGGGGGGATGGGTTCCATCCGGCTTAGAACCCGGGGCTGCTCCTGCTGAGTCCTGCCCACTAGCCGGGCCCGTTGCCCCAACAGCTGAAGAGGGTCCACTTCAATGTCCACTCTCATCCTCCACTTGATGGTCTGCAGAATGATCTTCTCCTTGGTGGTGGTGTTCATGGCTACCAGCCAGGTGGTAAAACTTTGGTCCCTCTTGATCCTGGTGAGAAGTGGCACGTTGCTGTCACTCACTGGCACTGCCCATGTCACGCTGGGGTAAAAGTTATCATTCATGCTGACGGAGAACCTGGAGATCTTGTTGGTGGGGCCAACCAGGGTCACAGTCTCTGTGGTGTTCCCGTACCAGGGGTAGCTCACCCCGTCTGAATCACTGATGGCTTTCACTCTTCCTTCCCTCAGGTCAGGCAGCTCCCAGCTTGACCTGGCAAAGCAGAAGGGACACACAAGAAGAAGACGAATGAATTTTTTTTTAAAGTTGGACAGGTGCCCACCACTTTACTAACACAGTCAAATTGGGCAAAATGGGAAATTGGGAGGGGGAATTCAGGCCATAAAGTTCTACGCAGAGCTGTATCAGAATTAAATGAGAGAAAAAAAAACAATCAAATTGAAATTAAAAATAAAACGCAGTTCCAAAGTAAGTTAAATAAAAGCCTAGGTGACCCAATGGAAAAGCCCAAAGGAACAGCAATGAGACCACCAATAGTTATCTGCTCACTGGGATGACTGTGATGAGAGGTGGAGAACTCACCCATGACAGGATGCACCTCCATGGGGAGAATGTGTTTGACACCCAGAACAGGTGATACAAAATTTAACTTGAAAGGATGTAACAGAAGGAGAAGAAAGGAGGGGTAAAAGAGGTGAGGGTCAATATTATATTAATTTCTCAGAAAAGCCACAGTGGTAGAATATCTATTCAACAGAGCATCTTTAAATTCTACCATGAAACCAAACCAGCACTCAGAAAACAGGTCAAAGAAAAGCCGTGATGGAGCACTGGCTACTTTTCCCCTAAAGCACACATGCTTTGTGGGAACCACTATGGCTGGCATGCGTGCTCCCTCACATGCTGCTCTCCCCTGGCCTTAGTGTCCTGCCTGGAATCTTCATCGCCATGATTGTGATCTTGGCATTCTGAGTACCTGTCTACTCTTCCCGTCCATTTCCCATCCTCGCACAGAATGACAGAGGAGCACATGTGGCCATTCGCAGGCCACGTATCTCCTCCCAGGGTATGTTGCATATAACAATGATAATCATAATGGCATCCCAACCATGGTGTTATGTACTCTGTTATCACAGTTTATGTTCAAAAGATTCCACACTGTAACTGGATTTTCTTTTCTTTCTGTCTTCTTTTTTTTTTTTTTTTCCAAGAGAGGGTAGAGGCTTAAAAGCATTGGTATATATCGTGTCCTATAGATTCTACAGACTCTAAGAGGTTAGATTGTTTTACTCTGGAGTCTGTGATTTTGATCATTGTATCATACTGCTTCCAAGTACCCATGGTAAAGGGAACCTATGCTGTACAATGATCTAACTAACAGCCCCTAGCACAGTCATGGGGAATTTGACTGGACCCTAATAGTGACATTCTACGTATTTCCACCCCCGGAACCAGGAACGACAGCAATGCTTGGTAATAATGCCTATAAGTCAATAATTAAAGAATGGTGAGTTTTCCATTTATTAGCTAAGAGGTGATGGCCTTGTTCAATATAAAGTTCTTCCCCTCCAGAGATGACAGAAGATCTGGCAGGGCTTACCCAAATGGTAGAAAAGGGAGTTGCTTGCTCAAGCTGACACTGATGATGTCTCAGCATCCCCTACTAGGGAACATGGAAACACTGCTGCTTCTGGCTACCCCCACGGTACTTTCTATGCCAGTCACCCCAGCATAAGTGAAGGGAAGGCTGGACCGCCTGGGGAGGAGGTGAGCCCGCAGCTGCAAGAGGTTTTTCTCTTGTCTTCATGCCCTCGATGACTGTTGAGAATAATTGTAGTGTATTATGGTTGGCAGAAGCTAAGTGACAGAAGCTGATCTGATGCAGAGTCGAAGAGAGCTCATCTTACTGCGCATGCTGGTGTGCTGTGCCAGGCGGAGCCCCCAGTCTTCTCCTTCCCTCCCTCTGTCCCTCCCTCCTTCCCCCTTCTCTCCCTTTCTCCTCCTTCCCTCCCTCCCTCCGTCCCTCCCTCCCTCCCTTCTTGAGACAGGGTCTCCCCATATAGCCCTAGCTATCTCTGAACTTGCTATGTAGACCAGGTTGGCTTTGAACTCAGAGATCTGTGTACTTCTGCCTCCTGAGATTAAGAGTGTTCACCACCATGCCTGGCATCACTTCTAATATATATACCTCTCCTGGCTCTCTGTGAAATTCATGGCCTCTTTTTAAAACCAACTTTTGTCACACACATATATATTCCTAAATACAGTGGCATATATGTATATATATATATTCACATTTTACTGTACAGAAATGAGTGTGTTGTTTGCATGTAATATAATTATGCATGAGTTAGCATGGCAGAGAACCAACTGGCTAATCTGCTTGCTGGGTTCATGTAATGACAACATTGGAGTCATTGTGCCCCAACTAAGGGGCCAAGACAATGTCATCACTGGATATTATTTCCAAACCTCAGTTTTTATTTTTCTTAGTAGTCATTGTGACACCTTCTGAGTGGCTGGGGGACAGGCATTCCCAGCAGTGCCAGACCAGGCTTGCTCCCTGCCCCTCTCACAGCCAACTGTGCTGTGTCCAGTCTGGAGAACTCTGTTTCCAGTGGATGTGTTTCTTATTCCACTACAGTGCTGACCTTTTCGGGACTGTGTACCCTGATGGTCAATCCAATTCCTTTGTCTATAACTGAGCTACAATTTATATTTTGCCTTTATCTCCCTGCCCAGAGGCAAGGGCAGAGACCTGAGACCACACTCTCGAGGACAGCCTAGTTGGAAGATAATAAAACTTAGTTTGGTTCCAGGTTTTCTCACAAATGGAGATGGTGTAATGAGGAGCACAAGTGTGCCTGTCTCAGAAAAGGAAGAGAGTGGCCTCATAGGATGCTCTGGAATGCATGCATATCCTGAGCTTCTTAACCATCACACCCCAGCAAGGATGTATCTGGCAGAGCATAGGTTTGGGCTTGTGACCTTAGCAGGCTACACTTCTGTCTCATTTTGGCCCCTGTCTTACAGTTGCTAGAGCTCAAAGTGGGGTCTCTCCTACAGCCCCATGGAGCTAATATCTACCTCCATCATAGAGGGGTGGCTTAACTTAGGAAATAACCAAATTCATTAAGACTAAAGCCTAGTGAAGGAGAATGGCTTTCTATCAGAAAATTATTGCATTTTTATTTCTTATATGAAAATTAGATATTTACTCCCAGACAGTGGCTTGAAAGAGCTTGGCCTACAAAATGTATAAGTGGTTTACGTAGAAGATGAGATGGCAGTGGTTTTCTAAAAGTTCCTTTTTAAGTTCCAACAGTGGTCGCCTGGAGTCCCTTGGTGGGTGTTAAGAGGATGTCTGTGATCAGGATGCTGAAGCACTTCAGATCCTGCATGGTCCAAACAGAACTCCCCATCACCACCTCAGAGCTGGACCTTCCCCTCTCCGCTACATCCAACCTTTCAGGCCAGAAGCGAGGGCTATATCTGACCTTCCTACCCCTCACAGAGACCACCACAGCCGCCACTCAGCATCTTGGGACTTTTGCTGCACAAGTCTTGTGTGGATTTACTTCCTTCTCTCTGTCCACTGCTCACAGCTTTCACGTAATCCAAGCCTTTAGCATCTCTCCTAAACGGTCTACTGTCGTGCCCCACTAACTGCGTTCAATGCTGACCCCCCCCGCCCCACCGCCACTTCATCACATAGTCTGCATAAGTTCTCAAACTTGTTTGCTCTATACATAAAATGTTTCTACGACTCTTTTACATGAAAATCACTGGGTCACTCACAGGATAAAGTCTGAGTTCCTTACTGGCACAGATCTGGCTCACTGTGACCTGTCCTCCCTGACCCCACGCACACTGCCGTTTTTCTCCTTCACTCCTTAGCCCCTGCCGCACCCTCTGCTCACACTGCTCTTCCTCCTAATAAAAATCCCCTGTATCTATCCACTCGCCCACTGGAACTCATCGTGAGCCACTCCCCCACAGGAGGAGCACGATTTCCACCAACCCATGGGGCTGTCCACATTGACAGGTGCCAGATTACATCTTAACTTTTAGTTTTTATGTCTCTTTCTTCAATAGACGTCAGTTTCCTAGGAACTGTGACTTTACTTTTGAATCTGCACCTAGCACATAGCTGGCATGCAACTAAAACTTACTATTTCTTGGATGGATCCACATCTGTGATTATATGAGCACTACAAACAATATACAGTCTGTTAAACACACCATACACACACACACACACACACACACACACACACACACAGACAGACAATATGAACTTAGGAGGAAGGATGGGGAGCGAGGGGTGAACCTGAGAGGAATTAGGTCTGGGAGGTAGCAGAAAAGGTGAATATAATCAGAATACATTGTATGCATCTCAAAGAATTAATAAACTATATTCTAAAACCTTAATATTTCTCAAAGGATTAAATATTGTATTTGGATCATTTTCATGCCTTCATGTGTGGGGCTTGATAGAACTTTCACACGACAGAATCTTTTATCACAGCTCTACACTTTAGATACTTGCTCGCTTCTAAAACCCCAACATCTATTATTCATCTAGAATCTATTATTAGGATAGCTGCACACCTTGCACTGAACGTTATTTGTCTTCGGGGGGAGGCGAGCCACACTTGAAATGAGTGAATTAGTAAGCATGAATGTATTTCAGAGACTATTTTTGCCAGCACACAGCAAACATATGAAAATGAGTAGCAAAACTCCCGAGTGCGACCGGCTCTGGATGTGTAGAGATCCACAAAGGCAGAAGAGCTGGGGGAGGTTCTGCAGAGGGAATGGGTTACCGGAGCTAAAGTTGAGCCTTCTCAGCTGGGAGGTTTCATCAAAGGCCAGGGTAACATCAAGCATGCGACAGAATGACCAGGAAACAGAAGGGACGATTTGGGGAAGTGAACAGAGGAAAGGGTGAGAATGGAGTGGTGGCTAGGGTGGCCTCGGCTTGATGGGAGTCTTGAATAATGGACTTTGGCATTTGGACTTCATCCGAGCAGCGGAGGCACTTGCACTGGAGGCTGCTGTGCCAGGGACGGTCAGGTTCCTCAAAGGAGAATTTGTGTGTTGGAGGGAGAGAGAGTTGGGATGAGTGGGAACATTTGCAATGTGGTAGGTAATATCTATTGATTATCTATCTATCTATCTATCTATCTATCTATCTATCTATCTATCATCTATCTATCTATCTATCTATCATCTATCTATTTTATTTTGAG